CTGATTGATTATCTTGGCAGAAACTCCTTTTCTATACGTCCAGTTTCATAATATTTTATGAAAGACTCATGGTCACAAACTCTCACCCTTAGCCCCCCACAGAACAAAATTTTGCACATAAAGTAAAAAAAAAGTTAATGATTATTTTTTTTTGAGAGAGCGACACACACCCAGAGTGAGTGGAGGAGGGGCAGACACAGAATCTGAAGCAGGCTCCGGGCTCTGAGCTGTCAGCACAGAGACTGATGTGGGGCTCGAACTCGTGAACCATGAGATCATGACCTGAGCCAAAGTCAGAAGTTTAACTGACTGAGTAACCCAGGTGCCCTGTGTATATATTAAAAACAGTTTAGATTCTTTCTCTCTCACATTATTTTTCATGTTCTCCTGGACTCCAAAGCTCTGTCTCTTGGGAAGCTCCCCTGTCTGCATTGCACAACTCCAAGGGGGGCCATTAACACTGCAATTTATGTGTCAGGCGACCTAGATCCCTACAATCTCATGTTTGTTAAGCTCCTCATTTGTTGTTTTAAGTTTTTCCTTTCATTTGTGATACTTCCCCAGTGTTTGGTTTTGGCAAATAATTTAATAAATAGCATAGTGTGGTGTGAAGCCATGTGGTGATTAAAGTATTGGGGTGAGTATTTGTTGGTTGCCTGCCCAGCATCTACTATCTCTTCCTCCTGACAATATTACTATATTTCCTTAAAGGGACCTCTAACACCCCTGAATTTCAACCAGGTTTTTGGGAGGTCAGAACTGACCCTCTACTCCAGCAGTGTGTTCGGATGTTGATAGGTCCAGGCCAATTAGCATATTCTTTTCCCCTGGTCTCAATGATTAATCAGGGATGGATGTATAACACAATCAGGGTTCATTTGATGGAGGAAGAGAAATGTCTCTTCCCCCCATCTCCTCCCACTTTTGTATGAGCCACTAGAAATAATTCACTCTTTTCTGCTGTATGTAATAGCGGCACTAGGCAGTAAACAAAATAGGATATCTCTATCCCTATGGAACATACATTTTTGTGGGAGGAAGTGGGCAGTATACAAGATACATTAATTAGATGGTGTTCAGAAACATGGAAAAATTTTTAAAAGATTAGGGCAAGGAATTAGAGAGGTGACAGGAGGCAAGATCTGCATAGCACTTTTTAGACCATGATGGAGACTGTAGCTTTTACACTGAGCGAGATGAGAACCCATTGCACAATCTAAGCAGAGAAGTGACAAGGTATGATTTAACTAAAATAGGACATTCTGGCGGCTGTGCTGCAAAGGGAAAAGAGGAGAAGCAGGGGGACTAGTTGTGACAGTTATAAGGCATTAATATATTACAATATTGGTTCCAATTCTTCACTCTTTTTAATATAATAAATCCAGAGAGGGGAGGCATATCTTGAAAGAAATTGAGATGCATCTTTTGGCTCATGGAGTTGATGGGAGTCTCTCTCTCTCTCTGTCTCTCTCTCTCTCTCTCTCTCTCACACACACACACACACACACTCAGAAAGCTTTTAAGAAAAGTCTATTGGCAAAACAACTAAACAAGACTAAGCCTGTGCAAGAAGTGAACAGAAATTTGGGTTCTCAATTGTCTACAGGCAGGAATCAGTTTGGGAAATCCACGTGTCCACCAAGAAAGGCATATTTTCCAATGCCCCTTCAAAGTGACTAAGATAGATGATGGAAAAAGAATAATTTTCTAGAATGAAGGACCAAGAGTTATGGAGAATAGACTGGAAAGTCATTCTGAGAGAGCAGAACCTATGCCTGATTATGGTACATTATTCCCTTTTCCCAAATAGAGGAACACGACAATCTTCACTCAGTGGAATTTCGTAAGTATTATGGCCCAGTGACTGCTCTTTGCTTTCATTATTTTCTTTTTTTAATGATCTTAGTTTTTTTGTGGTTCTGTTGTCTTGTACATCATTTGTTATATGTTGGATGTATGAGAGGAAGACACCTGTTCCTTTAATTCATATGGTTCAAGAACAGCCATATTTGGACCTGATGTAGATCCTGGATTTCAAAGATATGATAGACCTTTTAGAGGTCTTGGGGACAGGAGTGAGTTATTTTGTAATGTGAAAAGCATATGAATAATTATAACCCAGAGAGTATACTGTGGTAGACTGAATCACTCGTTCTTCACAATTCTTCACTGCCCTGTAGTACTATTATGTTTACATGAGATCCTTTGCTATGGTTGCACGGTGAGCAGTATATTGTCTCACCTATTGACTTTTGGATTGGGCAAGTGATTTTCTTTGGTCAATGGGATGTCAGGGGAAGTGATATGAGAGAAAGCTTGAAATATTCTTCCATGTGGCTTTTCCTGCTTGTGCCTCTGTGACTCCCATGACAAGAGTATGCCTTGGGTAGCATTTTCTCCCTGGGCTCTGAATAGGACACATGAAGCAGAGGCACTATAGTTGACCCTTGGGCTCACAGCCTGAGGCAAACCTTCCCAGTCAACCCATAAACCTTCCGCTTAAAGTTGATCTGAACCTCATCTCAAACCTGGAGTCTAGCCTACTTCAACTAAAGTACTACTTATCCACAGACTCATGAGAAAAAAGTAATTGTTTTAAATCTCTTTGGGCTGGGTTATACAGCATTAGAGTGGTAATGACTGAGCAATAAAGAGTTAATTGCAATAATTCACAAGAGAGAGGATGGGAATCAGAGCCAGGGTGGTCACAGTAGAAGTGGTCAGATCCTGGGTATATTTTATAGATTAGAACCCACAGGTTTAGCCAGTGGACTATAAATGAAGTGTGAATGAAAGAGAGGAGTTGAGGATGAATTTTAGGCTTTTGGCTTGAGCAAACAGGAGAATGGAGTGGTCGTTTTCTGAGATGGGAAAAACTGAGGCAATTGAAGACTTGAACTAACACCAGGAGCTGTTATCAGGAACAATGATGTGGTATTGGACGTGTTAAGTTTGAGTTGCCTAGGGACATCCAGATAAGGAGGTTAGGCTGGTCATCGAATATACAAGTTTGGAGTTGGAGGAAGGCCCAATGTGTACAGGTACACCTGAGAATAGTCAGCTTTTAAAGCCATGATACTGAATGAGATCAACGAAAAAGTGTGATCACTTGAAAAGAGGTCCAGCAACGGAGCCTGTGGGCAGTTAAGAGTTTCATGGTTGGAGAGTTGAACTTTCCAGCAAAGGAGACTGAGAAGGAGCAGGTGGGGAGAGAAGAGGCAAGTGAGTTAAGTGACAGTAAAGTGTTATTCATATGCATGGTTATAATACAACATCCATTCCTGTCTACTATCTTCTCTTCCTTTTCCTCCTTCCCAAAAATGTCACCACCACTAGATTTGTGTATGATATGGAAAGCACAGTGTTGATCACTTTATACACATATAACAGAATTATGAAAAAGGTAACAGGTAACTTCTTTTTTTTCTTGGTACATACTCACTAGGAGTGACCTTTTTTCTCTTCTGATCTTCTCTCTAGACAGAGAGGCTAAGTGTTTGCATTAATTCTGGGTCCTCCTCATAATCCTCTAAGCAGGCTGGCTTTGTTTGAGGAGCAAATGGATTGAAGGCTGGTGCTTTGAATGGAATGGGAGAATGAGTAGCTGGAATGCTGGAGGAGAGTTAGTTATTATTTTTTTCTCCCTAAGCCTGGGAGGGGGAATTAAAGATGGGAGGATGAGGTCCAGTGGATATCAGAGACTTGTGTTTAGCTAGCCTGCAGCTCCCTAGTGGCAGCAAGACCTTGGAAAGGGGGACGGCTGTCTGGAGGTGAGTAGAAATTGGAGAATGGATGCCATAACCTTGAAATCATTGGCTTAAGTCATCTGGTCTGAGTGGAGAACATCACTTGGGTGAACTTCTGTTGTAGAGCCTGACAAAGTCTCAGAGTCAGGGGTGGGGGGCAGCAGGGCACCTGAACTAAAACTGCTTTGCAGAAAGAGAATGTCTGAGCTTAAGACAAAGATCTAAGTGTTTGCAGGAGCACACTTGTTATGCGTAACATGTAGCTTTAGAAGGTTATCGAGATACAGCCAGTCATCCAGTCATGTCATTGAGCTTTGGGGAACGATGGCTGTGTGACTATGAACTGAGAGAGGTGTAATCCTAGAACCAAAGCTTGGGACATCCAATGTGTGCAGACCGGAATCTGAACCAGCCAGGACACTACCACAATGCTGTATCATTGTGGTAGAAGGTAGCAGCATTTGTTAAACAAGACTCCATTTTTTCCCTCTATTTTGTTTTGAGAAGGGAACTGCATCCTTTGGTCTAAGATATGAACCCCACAGTTTCTTAGATATTCAAGGGTGAGGAGGTCTAAAAAGGAGAGACTGAACTTTGTAAAACTAAAAAGGTTCTGGGCAGGGGGCTTGAATGATTCACTGGGGGAAAAAAGGCATAAGGCCTCTGAGTTTATGACACATGTATTGCTATTTCTGCTTTGGGGAAAATTTGGGAAGTTTTAGTTGAGGAAGGGTATTTATGATGTTTTGATGACCTTTGTTTTTTTTCGAATATGTATTAGCCTTACTCTGCGTGGTTCTGGAGAGCAAGACAACAAAGGGCTGTTGGCTACATGGGTGCAGGGACAGATATTCACTGCTAAATCCCAGAACGTGTATTGGGCCCAATACATTGTTCACTAAATGGCTGCACGCATGCACACATGACAAATGAGAACATATGGGTGAAACTTACAGGGAGGCAGATTTTTTATTCAGTTTATCTTGCTCATAATCTGAGTTATTAAAAAAAACTAAATGGACTGTTCTTGAAAGGCAGTGGAATTCTCTATCACTGGGACTGAAATAGGAGCCAAAGAACCATTTTGCAGGGATGTGATAGAGGGTTTATTCATCAGATGATGGTGAGACCACATAACGTCTGAGGTCTCTGAAAACTCAGGATATGCCAGTTCTGTAACTTTAAATCCAAGGGTACTTATCTTTGTACATGGACTTGGGAGAAGTATAAATAAGACTCATGATCTCAGGAATCTTGAAGAGGCATGTGTTCAATGGCATGTTTATTAAACAAATGCTCATGACAGATTTTCACAACAGCAACAAATGTTATTTCACTACATCACATCTCCCTTGCTAAGAAAAAAAACAACAATCACAGAGAGGTTGATGGATTTGGATTATTTGTTCACGTTTCTTTGTGGGGAGCGGGGGAGTAAAACCAGTCTCCTCACTCGTTTCCCTCTGTTTCCTCTTCTTGAGGGGCATCTGGTTTCATTTTCTTCACCTCTGCTCTGGCCAAGTGTCCCCGGAAGGCTGCTTGGATTTTGAGAGCAGCATTCTCCTCTTTTTCTTTTTCTTCTTCAGAAGATTCCTTCATGGAATGGAGGGAAAAGTAAGAGACTTCTTAAATATCCAATATTTTGATGCCATAAAAATAGTGCATACATTGAGGGACATAACGATCAAGATCTGTTGCTTCCTAGGGGAATTTTATATACTTGTCACATTGCATATGTACCAAATGGCAGGGGTCAAAATAGCAGGCATTTTGTTGGGTCATTCTTTTTTTTATTTTAATTTTTTTAAATTTCTGAGAGAGAAAGAGAGAGAGAGAGAGAGGCAGCGTGAGCAGGGGAGGGTCAGAAAGAGAGGTAGATACAGAATCCGAAGCAGGCTCCAGGCTCTGAGCTAGCTGTCAGCACAGAGCCTGATGTGGGGCTTGAACCCACAAACCGTGAGATCATGATCTGAGCAGAAGTCGAACACTTAACCTACTGAGCCACCCAGGCACCCCTTGTCTGGTCATTCTTTAATATGTCTCTGCAATAAATGATCCTTGCCCACTCCCCACCTCTAGTAGCTCCTACTTAACCACTCCCTGAGCAATAACATTTTTTGGAAAATAAGAAGAATCCTTGAGGCATGGTAAAAATGTCAAGAAGAATAGTAAGTGTCCTATTTCAAAATAATCATGATTACATGAAATTAATTTATTAATTTCTCAATGATTAGCTAATCAAAATCATACATTTAAAGCAATAATGTCAGTTTTAATGTGCAATAATATCAGTTTTAATGTGGTGGGCTGAACTTCTGTATATAGCATCTTTTTTAAAAAATTTAGGTATAATTTACCTAAACTGTAGACAGTGGAACATATATCTTAAGGGTCTGATTCAATAGCTACATAGTTTTTAATATGTCATTTTAAATTATAACAGTGATACATATACATTCAAAAACTTAACTCACTGGTAGTAAAAGTTTTCTCCCCCTTTCCAAATCCTACTCCTAAGATGTAACCATTATTATGGGTTGAGTATATATATCCTTCCAAAAGCTCTCTGTATACAAAGTATTCATATGGGTATATACATGCCTTTTTATTTAAAAAATGAGATCATGTTAATTACAATGTTCCCAACTACTTTTGCATAACTATCTATCTTGGTTCTCTTTTCTATGTTATTATTCAGTATATAATTCTGCCCATTCTGTCTCTCTGTCTCTCTCTCTCTCTCTCTCTCTTTTTATAACACCATTGTGTTACATTGTACTAATGGAATTTGACTTACTTTACTTTATTTATTTATGAGAGAGAGAGAGAGACAGCGCGAGCAGGGGAGGGTCAGAGAGAGGGAGATACAGAATCCGAAGCAGGCTCCAGGCTCTGAGCTAGCAGTCAGCACAAAGCCTGATGCAGGGCTCAAACCCAGGAATCGCGAGATCATGACCTGAGCTGAACTCGGACGCTTAACCGACTGAGCCGCCCAGGTGCCCCAGAACTTGATTTATTTACTCAGTCTCCTGTTGATGGACCCTTGGGGTGCTTATACCCCTCACTCCATTAAAAAATCAATGAGGCACAGGGGCGCCAGGGTGGCTCAGTTGGTTAAGTATCTGACTCTTGATTTCCACTCTTAACAGCACTGAGCCTGCTTGGGAATCTCTCTCCTCTCTCTCTGCTCCTCTCACCCTCTCAAAATAAATAAATAAAAGTCAAAAAAATACAATAAGGCAATTCTAGCTCTTAAACTTTTAAATGCAAACAGAATGGTATTAAATTCTCTGAGATGATGCCCCAATATGGGCAAATGATTATAGTGAAGTTGGAAATCAATGAGATCTCAACTCAAACTTATGAAAAGCTGTGTAAGGGCAACTACTAAAAATGTAAGGAAACGAAACTCCCTTTCTTCTTCCCTGACTTCCCATTGCACCTTATGGCAATGGTTAGCTGATTGGGTTGTACTGATATAATTCTGGAATAATTCATAAAGGTTATGGGGAAAAGTTCTGCCCCCCACTGGGTAGGAGGGGAGGTATTCTTTGAAGGGGATGCCTCCTTTAGGGGTCAACTACTGGGTAACTACCTGGTACAGGAAGGTATGAAAAGGAACTCAGAAGTTTGGCCTTTCACACTGGTAGAGCGTGAGGTCTTTCTCACTAGGGTTGGTCCTCTTGAGTCTGGACTATGAAGAATATAGCCAGTGATATGCTGGTAAATGTTTATATATGGACTCTCCAGGAAAAAAAAAGTCTGATTTGCAGTATTGGCCACGATCTTAATACTCCATCTGTGGCTGAGTTCAAGCGACCAAACAGACGTTGCTGAACATGGGTGTGTAGACATGTGCATAGCTGTCTCTTGAGAGCTGGCTCTAGCACACTCCTGAAAATAGGTAGCTTTGAAGGTGGACCCCACTGAGGTCTTTATTGCTTAGATCTGGGCTGTCAGGCAGCAAGTCATTCAGGGTAGCAGTGCATGGAAGGTGAATAACACACACTGTGTAAGGCCATTTTGTTTGGTGGCATGTAGTTCTCTGTGAGTTTCCTTTTGTTATCTCTCTGAACCTTTGTCACTGCATGGTAGTGAGAGCATCAGTTAGTGAAAGACTCCCAAAGGAATGCATCTGAAGCATCACGACTGGGGCAGTGGGTTCTGTCTGTTCTTCTTGGGAAGATTTCCCCACCTACTGACAATCTTGGAAAACAAGATTTTATTTTTAGAGGGAAGAACGAGTTTTCCTTTATAATAGGCACAGCTAAAAATGATCCACCAGTTAGTTTATCGCTGATGCTACTTATCTAGAAAGCAAAATAGTAATTTTAGCAATATGGGTAACATACTAGATTCATATTTGAAATATAATTTTAAAGTTTATTTGTTTATTTTGAGAGAGAGAGAGAGAGAGAGAGAATGAGAGAGTGAGAGAGTAAGAGAGCACAAGCATGCAGGGGAGGGGCAGAAAGAGAAAGAGATTGAGAACCTCATCCACTCCCAGGGCCTCTTGGGGCTCAAACCAAACTGTGAGAACATGACCTGAGCCAAAATCAAGAGTTGGACGCTCAACCGACTGAGCCACCCAGGTACCCCTGGAGTACAATTTTAAGTTGAGTGAGATCTTTCTTTGTAGGAATCTAATAGTATACAGAAAACATAACTTACTAAGGCTGTGACTGGTGTTTCATCCTCTTTCACAGTTGCACCAGACTTTTCTTGTTCTGATTCACAGTTCTTAGGTGATTCATGTTCCTGGAAGAGAGGTCAGAGGGCCAGAGGCAATATACTGAAACAGTAAAGTCTTGGATCAAATTGCTTAAAGGTAATTAAATATTGCTTTATATTATTGAGAAGAAGCGGGAATTAAATATGTACTGTTTTGTAAGTAGGTTGGAAAAAAATAAATGAAAACTCTCAAGAGAATATGTATAAACAAATAGGACCAAGGAATTGGTAGAAAATGTTTGATTTTTTGCTTTTGGAATGCAACCTGGTTTTATATTAAAAATAAGCCATTGTCTTATACTAAAAGTTGGTAATATGCTGTAATGAATCTTTTTTTTAAATGTTTATTTTTTGGAGGAGAGAGTGGGAGAAAAGGGAAAGAGAGTGGGGGAGGGGTGGAGAAAGAAAGAGAATCTCAAGCAGTCTCTGCACCGTCAGAGCAGAGCTCAATTCTGGGCTAGAACACATGAACTGTGGGATCATGACCTGAGCTGAAACCAAGAGTTAGATGCTTAACTGAGCCACCAAGGAGCCCCCATGCTGTAATGAATCTTGAGCAAAGTTTAAAAAATAATTGCTGATAGTTTTTAAAATAAGAACAAAATATAAGCCATTGTGTCTCATGTGAAGTCAAGTCGCAGGCTCCACACTGTCAGCACAGAGCCTGATGTGAGGTTTGAACTCACGAGCTGTGAGATGATAACCTGAACCGAAATCAAGAGTTGGAAGCTTAACTGACTGAGCCACCTAGGCGCCCCTCAAGTTGACTTTTAATGAAGTCTGTAGATTAAAAACGATGTCAAAGAATTAAGTTCTGCTATGGGGAACCATTTAAATACATTTTTTAGAAAAGGGAAATCAGTTCTATTTTGACATGGTTATTTAAATCTTCCACCAAAATAGAGGCATTGCTAATTCACAACCTGTGGAAAGAGTTTCTTTCATCTATAAAACAGAAATTTGAAGACATATAAGCTAATCATGTAAAGTCTTTAGAATTCAGAAGAGATGAAAAAAACACACCCTGAAATTGCTATGTGACATAAGGATTTAAAACTTTTCAGCATTATTCCTTTGATTGAAATAAAACATGAATACAGAGAATCTACTTAAATGAAAACAAACCCAACACACCCACATCTGGCAGGCACAAATGGATGGAACTTCACATTTGAACTTATGGAATAAGTGACAGGTATTTCCCCAGGAAATTCCCCAAATCTATTGGGAACACAATCAAAACTTGAACTTGGATAATTCCTTTTAATTCTTCTTTTTTACATTTCTTTATTTTGAGAAAGAGGGAGAGCATGCATGTGTGGGAGGGGCAGAGAGAAACAGAGAGAGAGAATCTCAAGCAGCCTCCCTGCTGTCAATGCAGAGCCCGATACAGGGCTGGATCTCACAAACAGTGAGATTACGGCCTGAGCGGAAATCAAGAGTTGGACACTTAACTGACTGAGCCACCCAGGGGCCCCAAATTCTTTTTAATTCTAATATCTGACGGTGCTTTGTGGCTAATATATTATCTCAGTTGTCTAGCAGAGTGCTTCTCAGACAAATTACTTTGGGAGCTTGTTAAAATTCAGCTTCTGATTTGTAGATCGGGAGTAGGGCCTGAGACAGAAGGTCCACCAGGTTCCCAGCTGATGCCAATAATGCTGGATCACACACAGCCCTTCTCAATCAGTGCTCCCTTCTGGACCACAGAACACAGTGTTTGAGTTCAACTCTTTTCTCAATTCCCCAAGGATAGTACACAGCTAGAATCATTCTAGATACAAAGGAGAGACTTATTCCCTATGTGCAATGAGTGCCTTTGGCTTAGGGCTTAATTATTTTGAGGAAGCTTGGTTAAGAAAGGCTGTAGGAACACTTCTAAGGAGAAGATAGGCTCAGTCTCTGAATGGATTAACTGTATAGAAGAAACGCCATTACAAACTTTAATTCTAATCAGTCATTGGTAAGATGTCAATGATGATGAAACAATTGGATAAATGGTGTTTTGTTTTATAAAATGCCATTCATTAATTCAACAAATATTGAGGATCTGCTATTGCTATAAGCACTGTGATATTCAATGAAATCTGAAGAAAAATAACTTTCAAGTACATTCTTCCTATTGCTCATCTTTCAATCTCAGCTTAGTATCTGATCACGATATAGATCTTTAGAACAACATTTCTCCTCAGAGAGAACAGCACACTTAGAAAGGTTGAGTAAGATATTTGTGATGCCTCTCCTGATGTTCATGATTCTGGGGAGATTCTGAGGATCTCTGCTTTGGAGATGGGGAGAAGAAATAAACAAATCCATGAGTTTCATGGGACCGTACCTTGAATGCGTGGTTGTTATAGAAGCGGTCGTCTACCTTCGTCCCCCATTCTGCTGGATCAAAGTTGGTTTCTAAATTAAAAAATAATAATAATAATTTCAGACTTACTTTGAATTCATTAAAGCAAACCCAGAATCGTAACACATGACAAGTTTTCTTTTTCAAATTGCAGGTTCTTTACTGCCAGCTGAAAATCTTAATTGGTTTTTCATGTTTATTTATTTTTTAATTTACTTTAAAAAATTTTTTAATAAAAAATGTTAATATAAATGTTTATTTATTTTTGAGAGAGAGAGAGATAGAGTGCTGCTTGCACTGGGGAGTGCTGCTGCTTGGGGAGGGGCAGAGAGAGAGGGAGACACAGATTCCCAAGCAGGCTCCAGGCTCTGAGCTGTCAGCACAGAGCCCGATGTGGGGCTCGAACTCACGAACTGGAAGATCATGACCTGAGCTGAAGTTGGACATTTAACCAACTGAGCTACCCAGGTGCCCCTTTTTTTAATTAAAAAGATTTTTTAGATGTTTATTTTTGAGAGAGAGAGTAAGTGGGCGGGGGGGGGGTAGAGAGAGAGGGAGACACAGAATTTGAAACAGGCTCAAGGTTCTGAGCCGTCACCACAGAGCCTGACATGGGGCTCAAACTCACTAACTGGGAGATCATAACCTGTGCTGAAGTCAGACGCTTAATGGACTGAGCCACCCAGGCACCCCTGGAGAGATTTGTTTGTTTGTTTGTTTGTTTGTTTGTTTTTTAATGAGGCATATTATGTAGTCAGTAGATATGACAGGAAGAAGTATTTCTATTTAAGCAGAATTATGTTTAACTTTTATTAACAATTTCAAACTTAGGGGTAGAGAATAATATAACAATTTTCACTTGCACATTATTCAGATTCAACAATATAAACTCATGATTTATCGTATTTTATCTGTAACTTCATTCAATTTCCCATCCTTTCTTCTAATTATTTTCAAGCCAATTCCAGGATTCCTATTGTTTTATCTACAAATATTTATTTCAATATGCATCTTTAAGATATAAAGAAGCCACAATATCATTATCACATCTAAAAACACTCATTCCTTTGTACCAGCTATCCAAATTTTCTCCATTGTATTATATATATATATATATATATTTTTACTGTTGATTTGTTCAAATCAGAAGCCAAACAATGGACACATAGAGCCTTTTGTTGTGTCTTTTGAATCTCTTTTAATTGAAAGATTTTTTCACCTATCTCCCAGCCCACAGTTTTTTCCTTGAGATTTTTTTGTTGAGGAAATTGCATTATTTTTCCTTTGGAGTTTTCCACAATTTAGATATTTCTGATTCCATTTCTGTAATGACTTTTAATAAGTTCCTTTGCTTTTGAATTTTCTGTAGTTTATTCAGGTTTTATTTATTTATTTATTTATTCATTCATTCATTCATTCAGGAAGAATACTTTATAGATAGTACAGTGTAATTCTGTCAGGATATACATAATATCTGGTTGTTTCTCTTTTTAAGGGGGTTGTTTTCTTTTCTTTAGGGGCTCATGGATGATGATTGCTTAGATCATTTCTTTAGGGGTTGCAAAATGGCAATGCTCTTATTAGATCTTTACTTCTTTTTTTCTGGAGTAATCAGTTAAGAAAAGCTTTCCTATATCAACTATTTGGTCACCCTGACATAAGGTTCATCTAGAAAAGGCAGGTTTAAGGTTTGATTCTTTCCCATTATCAATCAGTTTTCTGAATAATCAGTTGGTTCCTTAGGATTCTCTCAGGGAGGTTTTGTTTGTTTTTATCATTATGAACTGATGAGTATTTAATAAATTGGATAAACTTCAATCGATTGCATTTTTTATTCTTCCTGATGCTTTGTCCAAAATAGGCCAGTAGGAGTTTATTTGTGTGCTCAGATGCTCCTGAGTCTGTTGGAAACAACTCTAGTTATCTTTGATAGTATCCTTAATTTTCTGGTATGGCAAGACATTCAGACTCAACTTGGATACTTCCTAACCAGTTCTCAGAATTAGCTAGTCCTCTAAGAAGCCTTGTTTCCTGGGAAATGGTAGCTAGAGGCCACAGTCTAGAGGTTAGGTGCTCACTGGTACTGGGTTGGTCATTGTTTTGTGGTCTTAAAAAAAATGTATAGAGCTAGAAAACATTTCTTTCATTTTTAAAGAGAAAATGTATCATTGAGGTCACACTGATATTTTCCTGTTTGAATTTAGGATTATAGGATTTTATGAATTACTTTCATTTTTATATTTGTATGTCATTTTTCTTAGACTAAAAATCTTACTCTTAACAGTAGGATAGTTATTTGCTATGTCTGACAGTGTAAAAAATTATTTCAGAATAATTATATTATAATATTATTAACAATGATTACTGAACACAACTTAAGACTTTTATACCTCATTTTGTTTTTAGGCAATATCCATCAGGGATGTACAAATTACTGTGTTATAAAGTCACTTGAAATAAATTCTGTGTGGTTATGTTACCCATTCAATACTAGTTAGGTTTATTTGTTTCACTTTGCTTTGAAACTTTAGAGACTGCTTAACAATTTTTTTTAAATATTTTTATTTATTTCTAGGACAGAGAGAGAGACAGCATGAGCAGGGGAGGGTCAGAGAGAGAGGGAGATACAGACTCTGAAATAGGCTCCAAGCTCTGAGCTGGCGGTCAGCACAGAGCCCGACGCAGGGCTCGAACCCACGAACAGTGAGATCATGACCTAAGCGAAAGTCGGACGCTTAACCGACTAAGCCACCCAGGCGCCCCAAGACTGCTTAACAATTTTAACATTTATTTCTACTTTAAACTATGTTAAACATTTATAATTTTAAATTCAAGATATATTCAGAGAAGTCTTGCTTTTATTCTGTTCCCTCTACTGTTCCTTTTCCCTCAGAGGGAAATGTAAATTTCCAAAAGATTTATTCTTTCACTTAAAAATATAAACAAATAGCTATATATTTATAACAACACCCCTTTGTTAGATAATTGCTAGCATTGTTTTTACCTGATATATCCTTTAGACCGCTCCATAGCAACATGTAGAGATCTTCATTGTTTTTTGTTTTGTTTTGTTTTTACTGTTGTATATAATTCCATTGTGTGGATGTCCTCTAGTTTATTCAACAAATCCCCTATAATAGATATTTGGGTTGATTCCTCAAATAATGATGTAATGAAAAGGGAAGAAGTAGAATTTCTGGGTCAAAGGTTGACAGTGTATATAATTTTGGTAGATATTACCAAATTCCCTTCTTTTATATCTCCTTCAGCAGTGTATATGACTTATTTCTCCTTTAGCCTTGCCGAGAATAAATTGGCAAACTTTTGGCCTTCTGCCAGTCGTAAGGGAGGTGGTTGGTAGTGGTATCTCAGTGTAGTTTTGATCTGGGCTTCTGTTGTTATGGGTTAGGTTTAGTATATTTTCATATGTTAAGAGCCATTTACATTTTTGTGTGGTTTGCTCAGATCTCTTGACCATTGTTTTATAAGGTTGTTGGTTTTTTCTTCACTATTTTCACAAACCTTTATTTACTAGGTTTATTAACCTGTTGTGATATAAACTGCAAATATTTTCTCCCAGTTTGTCATTAGGTTTATTCTTCTTATGGTGATTTTGTCATGTAAAAGTTACTTTTATGTTGTCAATTTTATCAGTCTTTTCCCTAATTGCTTTGGATTTTTAAGTAATTATAGCAACTTAGCTAGCAAAATTTTTTCCTCCTTTAAGTTACAGAGAAATTAACAAGGTTAATACATGGTTCCTCCTAGTATTTGTATGGTTTCATTTGAAAAAATATTTAAATCTCTGATCAATTCGGTACTTACTCTGGTGTATGATACAAAGAATAGGCCTAATTTTATCTTTTTCCATCTTTATTATCTCAGTATCACTTAACAAAAAGCCCGCCTTTTTCTTAAGGGTTTGTGATATCACTTATAGCAAATACTAACATGTTCCCTGTCAGAAAAATAAAACTGAAAATAATTACCCATGAAGAATGCTGGCAAGGGAATTCTTGCATTGTGTGAGAGACTGGCCTAGACGAGTTTTTCTTCCTTTTTGGAAGCACAAAATTCTCATACTTGTATCAGTTGGATAACTCACCTTTGGTTCACATGAGTGAAAATGGGTGTGGTGCTTCAAATGTTTTCCAATAGTTTTATACAATTTTTATCAGAGAGCTCGTATTCTGAGACCATTAGTCTGAATCACCAATTGCTTTAATTATCATGAGCCAGTAGCAATGACTCAAATGTTTTTGTAATGGGACATTTCTAAGATCTAAAATTAAATAAATGACTAAAGACTTTTTACTCATGAATTTGTAAAATGAGTGTTATAATAATGAAATTAAATTAATGTTCATTGTAATTCACCTCTTACCCTAAAAGATTTCTCTTGATAGCTCTTTAGCAGCCCTTACGTTGCAAATTGTGCAACAGATAGTCACACTGACTGGATATGTAAGAGACCAGCAACATTCAGGAAACTGGCAGAGATTCTGAGCTCTGTCTGGGTTGAGCTAAGACAAAATGGTGGAGCTGTGCCGTGTGCATGGTAGTTGTTTTACTCAGGTCTTGCGGTAGGCCTCCTTCTGGAAAATGATTTGAAATGGAATGCTTATTTACTTGTAGCTAGCTATTTCTAGTCACCTTTATTACTCTGTTGGTATTCTGTAGTAAAAAGTAATGGTGGTAACAGCTTATACAAAATGTTTATTCTAATCAAGAATAGGGTTTGTTTGTTTTTTTTAATGTTTTATTTATTTCTAGGAGAGAGAGAGAGAGACAGCATGAGCAGGGGAGGGTCAGAGAGAGAGGGAGTCACAGATTGAAACAGGCTCCAGGCTCTGAGCCGGCAGTCAGCACAGAGCCCGACGCAGGGCTCGAACCCACGAACCGCGAGATCGTGACCTAAGCGAAAGTCGGACGCTTAACCGACTAAGCCACCCAGGCGCCCCTCAAGAATAGAGTTTTTAATAGAAGTATACAACTGTAACAATTCTCGTTTGGACTGCTGGATTAGTTCTTAATGGTTACGAGCCTTCAAGGCTGGGACTTTGGAAATTTTATTTCTGAAAGTAAAGAAACTGCTTTGGCTCTCAAGCAGTCATTATTAGCATGAGTCTTAGTCTCTGGGCAGGGCAGAACCTTGGGAGAATAGAGAAAGAATATAAATGACCTGGAATTTCACTTTTATTTATTTTAATTAAAAAATGTTTAATGTTTATTCATTAGAGAGAGCACAAGTGGGAGAGGGGCAGAAATGGAGAGGGGGGGGGGGGGAGAATCTGAAGCAGGTTCCAGGATCCGAGCTGTCAGCACAGAGCCCGACGCGGGGCTCAAACTCACGAGAAGGGAGACCATGACCTGAGCCAAAGTCGGACACTCGACCAACTGAGCCATCCAGATGCCCTGGATTTTCACTTTTAAAAGCAGTTTTTCCCCATGCCTTTATTGCATTATTAAAGAAGCACAGAATTATATTTACAACACTTACAATACTTTCAAGTAGGAAGAGTCAAAATGTAAAGAAAGCCACAAACTCTCCTCCCAGGAAGAACAGTCAACTGCCTGGGCTGCATAGAACAGCCTGTTGGAAAATGGAGAGTTAGACTCGATGATCTCTTGAGTTTCCCTTCCACCCAGTGTGTCCAGGAAAAACACAATGGAGGAGGAGGTCTGGGTAATAAACTGGTGATCTTCAATAATGTGAAATAATGTGATTTTACGAGAACCTGTCACAAATGCACATGTTTTCAACAGCAAGAACTGTTAATTGAAGATCCCTGCTTCATAAAGCATTTCTATGGAATAGGGACGGTCTTAAGCCAGTTTCATCATACCAAATGCTTAGTCTCTTACTTAATGAAAAATATGCCTATTTTTAAAAGCTTACTCTCTCGTTTCTCTAGAAGATTTTCAAAATATGCTGCGGCAAAAGCTGGTATATTTTCTGGTTGCTCCCTCAGAATCTCACGTGTCAGCCCTTCAAGAAGATTCCCAAATCCTTGTGGAATTCGGTAGTGGGTGTTGGAGAATGGAATCGACATCTCCTTGGAAGGGACTGCCTTCTGTACCTAGAGATTTATTAGAGAGTACTGTCTTTAAAATTGTCTGATTTTACTTATATAATCACAACTATGACAAATTATTTCTGAGACCCAAATTTTCTGGACTTCTTTTCTCCCTACACAACCCCAAACCATCATTGCTTCCAAAGAGTTTTGAGCTTTCCATTATTAATTAGAATATTATAAATACAGACCCATTTAATAGGCCAAATCGTTTTTTAGTCACAAAAATCACAGATTTTTCATTATAACACAAAGTAGTTTTTTCTGTCTCCTTTTTTGTCTTTAAAAGGTGAAGGTAATTTCTGCTATCCCACAGGAATTCAGAGAAAATGATTGTTAACAATTCATCATAAATCGCGGAGAAGACGCTGTTTGGGATCAAAAATTTAAAATATGAAGAACTAATCCTGGTTCTAGAAATTGCTCTAATGTGTTGCATATAAAAGTTCAGTACGTAGTCTTGCCCTAGTTTCCGCTTCTGAAGCATAACCTACGAGGCCTCGAAGCACCTATATACTCTGAACGGGGAAGCAGGAGCAGCGGGGAGGGAGGGGGGTGGCGGCAAGGTCATGATTTTGCAGTCCTAGAGTCCAAAATTTTGGGATTCTTCTATTTTCTGGTTTTGTCTTGACCAGGTTTTATCTTCCTGTCTTGGAATACAAGGACTAGATTAAGGATAGCAGCCAAGCAGCGGGCTGGGCTGCTGAGTAAGCCAAACGACACTCCGGGCCCAGGCCGTTTTGTGAAGGTGTCAATGTCACAAAACCCCCAAGCCGTGGTTGGGGTCTAGGTGAGGGACTAGACGGTTGAATGAGGCCCAATCTGTGGAGGATGTTTTCCTTATTTTTGAGACAATAGGAGATGAGGTATCGAATCATTCTAGGGTTGTGAAAAGTACTGCTGAGACCCTGAACCAATCTGGGGACTGGAGGGCGCTCGGAGGGGGAACGCGGGTCTAGTCGGGGGCGGGCCGTCGAGGAGCTGGGATTTCAGGCTCTTGCAGAATGGGCTGCCTTGGACCCCAACCTGCACTGGCGATCCCGGAATCTGTCGGGGGTCCTAAGAGGATGCGAAAGGCAAAGGGAAAAGGCGAGGTCTTAGTGTTGGAGAGGAAGAGGGGTAAACCGCCTCACCTCTTGTTTCTCTCAGAGCTGGTGCCGCTGGTTCCGGTTGTTATTTCTCGTTGCTGGGTAACCGTTTTTTTTTTTAAATCCAACTACGGCGGCCGGGAAGGGGGGCGGCACGGCCTCGCCCGGCGGCCAGTGCGGGCTCCGCAACCGAACGGCCCGGGAGGGGTGGAGTCAGGCCTCCCCGCTCCCCGCAGGTCCCGCCCACGACCCCGCCCCCGCGGTGAAGTCCGCGTCCCGAGTCCGGCGCAGGGCTGGCGGATCCTCCCAAACATGGTAGCACCGGGATTTGTATTTGGGCTGGTGCTGCCTTTAATTCTGCCGGCCGACACCAGTGCAGGTGAGGTGGCCCGGCTCGGCCCGACCCCTCCTGGTCAGCCTGCGCGGGCTCCGAGATCCCGCGGCCTCTGCAGGCCCCGCGAACCGGGAGCCGCTCCTCCGACCAGACCGAGGCCTAGCCCGCAGGTGTCTGCTGGGCTGGAGTACCGGCCGGTCAGCTGCCTCCCCACCCTTCCACCCTCGTCACGTTGCCGCGTGTGGGGCAGAGGGAGGGTTGGGTGTATCTGATAGGCGAGGCCCAAATGTGCCAGACCGTGGCCCTCAGGGTCTTTGAATAACTGCAATGGAACTCGAAGGGATGGGGGCGAAGCTAGTTAGATAGTATTTGGAAACAGGTAACTGAGTCATCCAAAACATTTCACTGCTGCCCCCACAGTAGTACCCTTGGGGAGGGTTTGCTTCAGACTTGGTTCCTTGGGGGAATTAAATTTTACTAGTTTAAGTGGTGATTAGGACTAAGAAATACAACCCCCTCACTAGCTCAGAATATTTAAGGCTTAGCTTTGATTGCCGGCGCAGCTTATGGGGATGATATGCGTGACACTGGGGAGGAGGGTGACTCACTTTGACTACTGTCCAGGTCAGATCTTGTCGTTTGAATATCCCAGGCTGGACCCTGAGTCACAACCACGGAGAAGCAGAAGCAGGAATCTGCCGCTAACGCAAAGTAAAGTGATAATGCTGGCCCTATGTTTTTCTTCCAACCATTCAAATAGTGGACCCCCAAGTTCCCGGCTAAGAAATTCACGTTGAGGTGAGAATAGGGACAAGGTGTAGAAAAATGACTCGTGCTCTACGTGAGCACCCAGAAGTACCCAGACGGACCAACTGGCGTCCATAAGTAGCTTTTCAGGCTTTAACAAAAGTGTAAACCAGCAGCCCTCTCTACATATCATTTTCTGCCTCTCACCTTCCCTGGGTGACCTTTGGGTCCACCATATGATAAAACAGTAGAGCCGTTGTTTTATTAACTTTTCTGTTAAAGGCTGTTATCTTTTTTTTTAATGTTTTATTTATTTCTGAGAGAGAGAGAGAGAGAGCAGGGGAGGGTCAGAGAGAGAAGGAGACACAGAATCTGAAGCTGACTCCAGGCTCTGAGCTGGCTGTCAGCACAGAGCCCGACGTGGGGCTTGAATCGTGAGATCATGACCTGAGCTGAAGTCTGACCCTTAACTGACTGAGCCACCCAGGTGCCCCAAAGGCTGTTATCTTTCATGCCAGTACAGTATTCTGTCTTCACCTGTGGGTCGTATCATGCCCATGTTTACTATGTAATATTTAAAATGTACAAAAGTATATGAACAATGAAAGAATAAAATGAACACCAAGGGTGCTGCACCCAACTTAAGAACTAGAACGTTGCCAGTTTTTCCAGACTCCCAGGATGTTCCTCCCCAGGGCATCTGCCAGTTCCTCACAAGAGATAACCTAACCACTGTCTTAATTTTGTCACTCACTAACAGAACACTAATTCCTGTTTTCTACTCCAAATGAAGGAAAAATTGAAGACCTAAAAAAAAAAAGCTTCAAATGCTAAGTGTCTTGTGTTTGACAAAAAGAATGACCAGTCCCGCTTCCTTTCCTGTTCTCCTATTTTGTCCATTGCTCAATTCCTTGGTAATGTTCCACTGTCTACCCTTATCAGCTTGGAATGTGAGCTTTAAAAGGTCAGGGAATATGCCTTTTTTTTTTTTTTTTTTTTTTAATTTACCACCAGTATCTGCAGCAGACTGGAAACTGCAGTAACTCTGGAATCAGGTGACTTGGTTTCTAGTCCTTTCGTAAACTACCTGTGTGATGTAAGGAGCTGAATATGCATTGTGGACGGCTTCCCAGTAGAATGTAAGCTTCCTTCTACTTTTCCTTTATTTTTTTCTTCTTTCTTTTTCTTACTATTCTATCCTCAGTGCTTAAAATGGTACCTGGCCCACAGTAGGCATTAATAAAAATTTGTTGAATTAATCAATGAATATGCAGGCTATTAGGTAAAATTACCTAATCTACACCCTAATCTATGTCGATATCAGTCTGTTGATCAGTAAATAACATGATTGTACCTTGGGGTGTGAAAGATCCTTTCTATCCTTAAAATTCTTTAACTCAGAATAGAGCCAGGCACAGTGAGGACCAGGGAGTGTGTGTTGGCGAAAACAGACTGACTTGGAAAGAAAGATGTGTCCCCAGCACAATGAGACAAAGGCTGCACTCTTAGAGAGCTCTTCCTTTGCATAGGCTCCTGTGCAAATGACAGCCAGTTTTCTTCCCTCTGTTCCCCTCCCCCCACCTCTGCTTAGCTCTTAGCCCTTTGGTTTTCAGTTCTTGTTCCATATGAAGCACCTACCCAAAACTAGGCACTCCCACACATGTGCCTCTCCCCTTCCCTCCAGCAGGCAGCCAACGTGCTTATGCAATTCTGGGATATTAGAGTCTCTTAGAGCATTTTGCTTGTGGTCGCTGTGCATCTCCAGCCCATTATCCAGGCTTCTGGAAGACTGTTGGTTGTCATGTAGGTTTTAGGATGGAACTCATGAGAGAGAGCCGCCTAGGATGTTTAGCGATTGGGCTGCTATTTGAAGCACAGGGCAAATAGGCCACAGAATCTGTAAAGGAGACCGACCCCATTAGCTTTGGGGCCCTGTTTAGTATAGCCTCAGGGGCCATCATCATTTGTAGCTTTCAGGGAGGAAAATGTCAACCTTGTTAGTTCTCATTCTCTTTCCTGCCTATCATTTTCATTTAAAACCCTTTAAAAAAATTGTAACTCTGTTAATTATTTTCTTCTAGGGATTTTAGTCTGTTTTGTTCAGACAAATTGGGACATAACTTAGGAAAGTTTTTATTTTGTTCCTCCTTGTTAAGTTTTGATGAGGAACTCATGTAGATAATTTGGATAGATGCTTGTTATTAATAAAATACTTCAATATAGGCTGCATGTTAAAAATAGGAATGATCTCGTTAAAGTGAGTTCTTATTCAGTCTTGTTAGTGACTCTAGAATAGAATCTACAGTTTCAAGTGCTCTCTCTCTCTCATTCTTTTTATATAACTTAGCTTGTGAAATGGGTAAAATTGAGACGAAAGACCTTTGTTCTGACATTTTGACCTTCTGTTGCTCGCCGTCCTTATTTTTATCATCTTAACTTATTTCAATTTACCTTAGAAGGAAGCAGATGTCACAGATATTCATAAATGCTTATTTAAAATTTTTAGTGGGTTGTCAAAAAAAAACCCCACAATAAGGGGAATTATTTGCAGGAGTCGACACTGGCAGGATGGAAAGGGGCAGATAAAGAATACGGGAAAGATTAGGGGAGGCTGTGTTGGAGAGAGGCAGGTTTCTTTATTCCCAGCAACGAGGAGTGGGCCTGGTAATGGAAAGTAGGGGAAGGAAGCGGTTTATTTTTCTCATAAATACCATCTGTGAGGTGCATAAAAGGAGCATTTTCACAACTTAGGGGGAGAGCACAGAGCGTCAGGGCCAAGCCTGAGAGCAAAGGAAGATCAAGAGCTCTGAAGGGGAGGAGGTTTGTGGCACATTGGTTGTCCTAGGCTCCTCGAGTTTTCCTTATTGGCCATGTTGTACTGTGATGTATACTGTTGGCAACTGCCCTCGTTCTGTTGCTTACCTAATTAGGAAGAATAAGATCTAGTTTTAGAAGATTAAAGGGTCTGGGTATATTCAAATTGTCTTGCATAAAGACTTTATGTTCCTTGCTGTTTAACCAGATGCAATGGATGATGAATAATCCAGCCCCCGATGATGCTTTTCTAAGTGTTTGTTAAAATTTTTAGATGTTGATTTTCGCTTTGCTTCATACATCAATAATTACATGGTGCTGCAGAAGGAGCCAGCAGGGGCTGTGATCTGGGGCTATGGCAATTCTGGAGCCACCGTGACAGTGACTCTGTACCAAGATCTAGAAACCATCATGGAGAAGGTCACGAATGTCAAAGGTAAGGCTGCTCTTCCTCAGTTCAGCTTTTGTCCTCTTCTGCCACCTGCTGGACAGTCTGTAAAAGGAATGCTTGCGCGGGAACTCCGGTTATCCCACCCATCCGCTTAAGTTTGAGTGTTTACCATATGTTAGGTACTGAGGACACAAAGAGAATTAAGACAGAGTCAGAGTCCCCGCCCTCCGGATCTCATGGCGTAATGGGAATAGATGCCAAGTCATAAAGTGCAGTGCGATAAATGCTATGATGAAGGTGTCTGTGGGGTGCCATGGGGTATAGAAAAGAGGCTGCTAACTCAGATCGGATGGTAAGCAACAGTTTCCACTGAACGGGACATTTGAACTGAATTATTCATAAAAGGGAGGCAGTATGGAGGAGTGCTTAAGAACCCAGGCTCTGGGCTTACTGAGCTCAGGTTCTGACTCTCACTGTGTGACTCTGTAACCTCAGACATGTTATATAACATCTCTGCGTCGCAATTTCCTTATTTATAAAGTGGGGATAATGATAATTTAGGGTTATTGTAAGGATTTAATGAATTAACGCATGTGAACATGTGTGTTAGCCACCATTATTATCATTATCATTGTTATTATATTTAGAGAGTCACTCAAACATTTGTTGAGTGCCTATGTGCCATATATTGCACTAGGTACTGGTAATACAGAGATTAGCAAGATAGATATGGTCTCTCTCCTAATGAAGTTTACAGATGAGGGGAGGAGGCAGAAAAAGAATAAGCAGCTACAGTTTAAGTCAGGTGCCGTAATGTGGATTTGCAGTGTGCTATGGGAGTGCTTAGGAGA